GGTTAGAAGACTGTTTTTATTTTCTTCTCTGCTTGTTTTAACAAGTCTAAAAAATAAATAAAAATTAGTAAAATAATAAATGTATTAACACACAAACCACTGTTAATTTAACATAAAAGCAAGCAGGCTACTGCGTGCATGGTCTGGCATGACTGAATGCGCGCAAAGTGCGCTCCCTTAATAAATCCTAAAAGCTGACAGTTCATCGCGATCTCACACATCTCTGTTATTATCAATGAAGCTGACTGCACAATCAATCTTTCATAATATCCACACTTTGTTTGTTATAATTAAAGGATTTGCCAGCATGCAGAATTCAGCACTGAACAAAAAAGTCCGTTTTGAGCGGTGAGGGGAGTCTATCTTAAATGCTTCTGATTGGCCATTGCGTTCCAGAAATCAACACATATGTCTGTGATTGGCTACATCGCTCAACGCTGTAACCATGTTATGAATAGAAACTCTGTCCTGTAAATCGTTTCTATTTTGTTGTAGTTGTTCTTGTTGCTTTTCTGCAAGAGATTAATAAAAATCTTTTAGTTTTTATGTTTTATTCATAGATATTTCTAGTTTGCGGGAGTCCCGCGAATCGTTTTATTCTCCCGTAACCCGCACACACAGAGTGAGTGCATTACCGCCCGCGCGCGCGCTCGGCCATCAGATCTATGATGCGTCTTCAGATGTTTAATTAGATTGCTGGTGTTAAACGATGTACTTTCTTTCCCTCCTCTCGACACCTTAGCTGAACATAACTCACAGTCTGCCTTGCTGTTGTCATCATCCCTTATCTTGAAATGAGCCCAAACCGCCGACATTAGCCTATACTTTCCTATGCCTCAGTTCACCTCGACAAAGCACTCGCGGCGGCCAGTTTCGTTTTGCAAAATGTACGTGGTATCGGTGCGTGGTATCGGCGAATTTTTATGAGTACGAGTACGAGTATATTAGGACAGTATCGGCCCGATCCCCGATGCCAGTATCGGTATCGGGCCATCCCTAGTTTGTACATTAAAACAGTTCAATTCTTCCCATCTACAGTGCCCTTGCTACAGCAATATACATTCAGATAAACGTGACTTTCTCAGCTTTTTGCTGAAAATGTTATTTTTTTTAATGAAACTTACCCACATTCAAAGTGGTGATATAAAATAATGCATGAAGCTTGAATAAAACAGATTTTTTGTTTTAAAGCAGAGGATCTGTTTTTTTCTTTTGATATATTGATATTCATACAACCATATATTCTGGGCGCCTTTTGTGAAAATGACCCAAAATGCTGGCAGTGGCTGGCACCTTAAAAACAAACAAAAAAACGCTGTCTGGAAAGAGCTAAGATGCCATGTCTGGATTAAAATAGCCCCACAGGTCTGAAAACTCATGCATTCTGTTGTTTTTGAATGCAATAACGTCTTGTGAAAATACCCCCTAAGGCCCTATTTATACATGGATTTAAGATGCGTTTTGGCCGTTCGGATCACAAGTAGACGAGGGAGACACATTTCCGTTTACAACTGGTGTTTTAATCTGTCTCTATTGTCCACTTTCAACAACTTCTGTCCTGATTTCAGGAGGAGGGTCTATGGGTGGGTAAATCTATGGGCTTTTCTCAGATCTTTTGATCTAATGGAAAAAAAATAAGCTTGCGTAATTTACATATGTATACACGACCACCAAAGACAACGGAAAAACATGCAAAGAGCAGCTTTTGTTTCTGCTCTGATAGCCGCAAGACCACAGTGAACGCTGTGAGTGCGTGTTAGAAATCAGGAATGGTGAGAGAACATTGTGCTTTGTACCTTTTTCGTCTTCAAACCAAACTTGAATCTTCAGCCGACAAAGTTTAAATCCCGTGCTTCACATAATATTTACTCATTAAGTCCGTAGGCGGACTTTTGTGTCTGTTCCTGTTCAATCCCATTCGACCACATGAGCGTCTACACTACAAAAGCAATCCGATCGAATGCGTTTTCGACTACCTCTGGAAGTGGTCGAAAGCTTCAGACCCCATTTACACCTGTATTCTATTTAGCGTTGTCCACCTGTGATCCGATCAACGAAAACGCATCTTAAATACCAGGTGTAAACCGAGCCAAAGAGAAGCAGCTGAGGAGAATCAGTTGAACCCCAAACCAACATCATTTTAGAGGTCATCGTCCAGTTAAGGTCAATTACTCGATTAGTTGATTGGTGGGTTGTTTAAGCGACCCAGCTGCTAGTTGTTTTTAAAAAAAATATACAGTATTTGTACTGGGCCTTAATGAGCATTTATGTTTCTTAGATGACTTACCTGAAACTAAGAGCTTCCAACCAAAGATCAATGTAAATAAGATCTGTAATCAACTGTAATCTTTGCCAACAGTTGTTCATCAGACATTCGTCTCATTATTTCAGGTGGTATTCAGTGCCACGCAGCTGTCTTGGCTGAGCTCTGAACAAGCGTGTGCTGTGACAGAGGAGCAGTGGGCAGAATTAGACAGTGAACAAAGGCAAGCACTTGGCATGGCCCAGTATGAAGGCGAACTCATGCTTGAGCACAGAGGTAAGCAGTACCGTTCTAGTTCAAACCATTCTTTCATGCTTAACCTCCTGTCATGCAGTTATTTGAATCCTTAAATAAATATGTTGGTAGTTAGAAAGAATTGAACATAGTTGTCATAAATCTGTCATTTTACTAAACAATATATTTGTCTCTGCAGGCAGGAACCAGGCTCCATCGTTATGGTTTGCCAGCAGCTTTACAAAATGTTTATTACTTTTTGTCTGCACATTGTGGATTCTATTATAAAGATTATAACCTATTTATGTGTTCCTCTTTATTTAATTCTTACTTTTATAATTAAATGTCAAATCAAGCACAAAACTAACATTTTACATCATTTACAAATAAACTTTAAGCATTATTTAAAGTCAGCATGAAATGAAGATTTACAGTATTTTCTCAATGCATGTTATAGGTCTAATTGTGAACAATTCATTCGTGCATGTTTACATTTTTAAAAATGTAAAAATGCGTAATGTTTATTCAAAATTCACAACTGGTCCTTCCGGTGAAAACGACAGACTTCACTCTGATGATATATGCAAGACTTTTCCAATAATTTAGTCTCTTGCATGGTTCTGTATACGCGGATTCATCTGATACTTCAGTAATGCACAAATAAACAAGCCAGATTCTAATTTTTTTCTGTGCACTATATGAACATGCATTAATTTTACGTTTATGTCCAAGACCTTTCCAAACAAATCTAATAAGAACGTCTCTTTTCATATTTGCAGACAGAACTGTAGCTTTTAGGTTAAGGGGCAAAAGCATTTCAATGTTTCTAATGCATTCATAATGATACAGTTAGCTACAAACTGTCCATCTACATAATGAATTGTCAGTCTATTGAATTGCCTTTCACAAAGACTACTGACAAATAAAACAGCTTGACCTTTGGTCAACAAACCAACGATGCTTGAATATTACCATTATGGCAAGCAAGAAGGGAAATATGAAATATACACTTTGAAACGTGATCCCAGTTGACGTGACCATAATGAGTTTGGGCTTCAGCAGCTTCATTATCTGGATCATTAAGTCAGCTGTGCTTAGATGTTCCCAATCTAATTGATGGGTGCGCGAGAGAGGAAGCACTTACCCGCCTAATTTGCATTCCAACTTGAAGGGCTGTTTTTCACCATCGTACTCAAGGAGTGGTGAGACTGCTGTTGTGCTTTATAAGAAAATTAACATATTTAAGTATTGTAAAAAAAAAAAAAAAATTAAACTAAGAGTTCCATGAACAAGTTTATGTTAAAATAAAGAAGAATTATCAAATACCAGTAGTGGTCTATTCTGCGAAGTTCGAACACAATCCATCACGTCTTGGGTTTGAATGTAATGTGAACTGCGCATGCGCGTTTACCCCCGCAAAAGTTGTAGCACAGCACAGCACATCCATACAGAATAAAACTTAACTATTTGATATATATATATCTTTTAATTTTAAAGTCTGGAAGGTTGGGGAAGCTGTACAAGTCACATTTATTTATATAGCGCTTTTCACAATACAGATTGCATCAAAGCAGCTTCACAGTGATAACATGAAAGTAGGACAACACAGTTCAATAATATTGTTGAATATTAAATATCCCCAACTAAGCAAGCCAAAAGCAAGGCGACAGTGGCAAGGAACCAAAACTCCATCAGATTGGATGGAGAAAAAAACCTTGGGAGAACCCAGGCTAGTCAGGGGCCAGTTCTCCTCTGGCTAACAATCATAGGGTTTTAAAGAAGCTTTACAGTAAGTCCACAATGAAAATATAGAACGTAAAGATGTTTATGAATTAAAAAAATTCAAAGAATCCTAATCATGCCCCAATGAATTCCTTTTTTTATTTGGATTACAATAATTATATTTTTGTCTAATTGTACAGACAACATATATATTTATATTCGTTTGTTGTATGGGTCATTCCTATGTCTACATTTTTCATGTTCCTATCATCATATATTTGATAACATTAAAACCACGATTAAATATTCAATCAATCAATTAAAGCATGCAATTATATTAGTTGGTTTTCTTTTATCAACATACCACAATTAAGTAAACATGGGGTGCATTGGGTCACATGGGGATAGATGGTAGATGGTGTAATTACATAACGTGAAAAACTATCAGTTTATTACTTTTTGCAGTCAATGCAAGTTTTATGTGCTTCGTTTTCCTTAGAGATAGTAAAACAAATGGAAGTTTACTTCAATTTAAATGGACACAAACCTGCAAACTTTTAATACATTTTATATAAAAATTACATTTAAATCATACAATATTTATATTGTAAGTACTTTGATTTTTTATTTATTTGTTTAATATCGTGTTTTTTAAAGTGAACTGCGCACAGGTTTCCACTAGATGGCGCCAAAAAATCAAACACCGCATGAGGCGCTCAAGTGGACGCGTCCTGACGTCGCTTCTCATTGCGTATAAGTGTGACGTATTTCCTGAGAAGCAGTACGTAGACATCTCTCCAGTCCAGTCCCCTGGATAGATGTGTATTTTTTTATATCTTGTTTGTTTACTTGATTCCGCCGTTTTGAAACGTTCTAGCATGCGTACGTAACTATGTTGGCGTATCGGCCCAAAGGTGGCACAGACGAACCGGGTCTCAGTGATGCCTTAGCGTCGCGTTACGTGCGACCGAACGAGCAAACCTATCGCAAAGTTTCCCTATTGTACAGTAGATGAGTCTAGATGAGTGCGCGTGGACTTTAGGACAGTCCAGTTCGTCAGGACACTTCATTCTGTCCTCTTGCCAACACTACTTCGTCAGTGTCTTGAGTTTAGCTTTGTTTTTGGGACTGTATTTGTCGTCAGTCAAACACAGATGACTTTTCGTCGTGTCCGTGGACAGGTTTAACGTTAGTGGATTTACGTCGTGTCCAAGGAAACGGAAGATTAGAAGCTGATGCTGTTGAGGTAAGATATTCATTCAGTAACGTTAGTTATGAAGTAAACGAAGAAGGTGGTTTAGTCTTGTGACTTGTTCCGCACTAGACTAAGTAGTCTACAAACTTATGTGAACCACATACGATTGTTTTTTAATTAAGCTACCTCTTTGAATGCTTACCTTCGTCTGAAAACAATATCATGTTCTATTGAATATACTTTATTTAAAAAATAAAAAGACACACCGTTGCACAGCTGCTGTATTACATTTATAAATAAATGACAATACAATATCTTTATAAATGAAACATACAGTTCCACCTAAAAGTATCTGGACACTACAACGTAATTTCATTGCGATATGGATATTATTTGGTTTCATTATTTATTTATTTTTAAAACAACACAAACATTTGACATGCAACACATTTCTCAATGTAATTTATAGTTTATTTAGATTTTAAATGAGGACAAAAAAAGAGATTTTTGGACAAGTTAAGTTAACATTTTTGTTGTCAACCTCACTAGTGTTTGCATGCCTACTGCTTTTGTACTTTTGTGCTTTTTTGGTCTAAAACTTGCATTAAAACTTTATATTGTTGTCATTTTTACTTATTTGCTGCTATTCATATTATTAATTTATACTTGTCTTCTTCAGTGATTTTTGACAATAACATGACTTGTTTTTGACAAATAAAACTAATTAACTAAGATTTGATTTTGACAGCTAAAATCACCCTGAGACCAGTTTAATAAAAGTAAAATGACATAAATGTCTCAGAAAATTAGTTCTGAGAAAAGCATAGTTTGTTTGCAGATGCCAACTGGTTTGATCTTTTGCTGTCTAATTCAGTTTCATTCTTATTTGGAAATGGTCACAGTCATTGATCAATGTGCTTTTGTTGTAAGGTGGAGTGTTCAACTTTCTAAATATAATTTAAATGATTTGTATCAAGTGCTGTTATCAAGTGCTTAGATCCCAATGTTAAATTTAGAGTTGTCCTGTTTCTGTTTTTTATTTTTATTTTCCTGAAATAAAAAGTGATCATACTTTCATTTCCTCATGAGATTGTTTCATCCATTACCAATCCCAGTGTCATGCTGGCCAGTAAACAAAAGTTTGCCTCTTCTTTGGAAAACGCATTCACTTGTGTTTTGAAATGAAGAATGGATTGCATATACGTACAGCTGTCTGATAACATTTACATTCCCTTTTATTTTCAGATAAAATGGGCTTCTAAAAGTCCCACAAGTTGCTTCCTGTCTTGAGTTTTTTTCTTCCCAAGTGGTCCGCACTTACTGTCAGTCGTCTCACTGCCGGTTTCCTCTCCCTGTTAAGTGTTAACCATGTTGTGATGTCATGAGTGGGTGTACTTTGAGATCAGGGCTGGCAAAGCTTTAAATTGCTGTCAGGAAAGTTACGCACATCTTGCTTAGCCTACTTAATCTGGGTTAGACACACGTTCAGTGCTCAAGTGAGTATTGTTTTCTTTTCTTCTCTTCACCTGATAAAAACATTGTGTAGGGAAATGTGACCTGTAGTCTATTGCTTAGTGATTTACCGTCCATGTTAAGAACTTGCTTGTAAACAGATTTTTTGTTGCATGTTTCCTGTGAAGTTTATTTTAAATTTTTCTGAAGCTCTTTATAACTGAAGGTTTTGGCAAAAGTTTTGGGCTTGTTGAAGCATTGTTTTATGTGAAATACTTTGTGGAAATTATGGTCTTAGAATATGTAGTCTAAATTTGTTTATGCATGCAATTGATCTTACGAGGTAAATTATTTGACTCGGTTGTCAAACATTTGTAGCAATATTTTTGTGTTCTCATAAACAGTGTTTGGTGATCAAAAAAGCTTTTCGCTGTTTACTTTACAGTAAATCTCAATTAGTCTTACTAAACTCGTAATACAATTACAGGCTTTACGTAGTCTGAATTCTGTCATTTGGATTGTTTTTCTGTGTTGTGCTTTCAAATCTGAAAAAAAGAGAAAGATTTGCAGAGTGATTTACTAATATAAGCATCGTTTTAATGAAAACATTAAGGCTAGTTAAAACAAGTATAAAGGTTTTATACAGCATTTTGCAAAAGTGTTTGTAGGAAATCCTGTATGTTTCAGAATTTACAGCCTATAATTTATTTCCCAATGGTAATGAGCAAATTTGTGGTAGAACAGGTAGTGCGTCTGATTCTGGATTCCCATAAAGTGCAGTTTAACCCAGCCGACTGCATTCTTTTGACATTGTTATGGTGAGAATGACTTGAGAGTCTATCAAAAGCAGGTAAATGGGCGGGGACATGTCATTTGAGCCAACTTGGAAATGTGCTCCACATTTGTTAGGTAGAATAATAGAGTAAAATCTCTGTCCTAAAAGGAAATATCAGCAGTTTTGTTTTGTTTTGTTGTTTTTGTTTTTTTGCCCTCACGTCAAACTGAATGAAAATGTGAGTTGTCCTATCAGATCTTGGGACAAAATTTCAATTGCCCCTCTTTTACACAAAAAGAAGACATATTGTCTAATGAGACTGTGTAACAAGTGTCTATATGATTTGTAAAATAGGCCATTGAGGGTGTGGACAGAATCGCTCCACCTACATTTAATCATCATATAGTTCTGCTGAATTGAACCAGACTTGTTTAGAACAAGCAAGGGTTTTTATTCTTAGTTTTTTTGTTTTGTTACGATAAGATCAAATAAATTGCAAGCCAAACTTATCCCACCAGTCACTGAAAATGGTTTCCGAAAAAACCTTTTCTCTGCCTTTAGACAAATGAATGGACAAAATGCAGTGTGTACTGAGTACGCTGATTTATTCCCTAATGAAACGGCAAGTCTCTGGCAATTTGAGCCTCAAGTCAACAAGAATCTTGCATCAGAGTTTGCTTAGTCATAAGAGAGGAGAAGCAGGATGATGGTTTTGAAGTGAGACTGTTCAGTCTGCCACCGAACATGGATGTTGATGAATATTTCTGTGGTAGAACAAGTCAACTGTGCTCCCTCCCATCTTTAGTTAACTGGTGGCTTACCAGCAAAGATGATGACTTGGCACATTTTTTTTTTTTTTTTTTTTTTGAGCGAAAAGACTTTGTTGGCTTTTTTTAGGCAATTTGACTCTGCGTGGTTTTCAGTCGATGGTTGTACAGTATTAATGCTATGTTGGATCTAAAGGGGAGATATCGATTAAATTAGCGATGAAAGGTTGCAGAAATATATTTACTGTATTCATGATTCATAATACTGCATTCATACTCGACTACAATCCAGCTATATCAGGCGGCAGGTCATGTGACATGATGCTGTACAGTTGTAAATTTGCTATTGCTCAAGTCACCTCAAATTGTCAACTCTATTTGAAAACAATTACCTTGATCCCTGCAAATCTCTGTCAGCGTGAACGCCCTTTTATTTTCACTGTCAGACTTTTTTTGTACTCTGGAAAGGTTTTTGGAAAGACATATTTCGATATTTTATATCTAAACTTGGACACAGTCACCTCTGATAACAGATCACTCTAAATTGTAATGTAGACACATATTTCAACTCACATTTATTCACAATACTGTTTCAAAGCAGCTTCACAGAAAATGCAGACAGAAAAAAAATATACTTCACTCCCTCACAGCCTCTTTTATTAATAAAATATATGACTAAGGTCCTTTTAACTGATTGGAATCAAACCCCTGCATTTAGCTGTCACCGGAAAATGTTTGTTTGCTTGTGCTGTTAATTTTTAAGCTAGCCTAGTTAGTCACTTTCACGGTATTAAAGCTCATCTGTGATTCATTTCCTCAATTATTCTCTTGCACCTGCAACTCAAATGACTCATTCTGCAATCTTCCATCTTTTTCTCTCCCCAGGTGATTCCTGAAGCGTTCCGAGTCCATCTCTCTTCCTCGGCTCCGTCTCTGCATGTGCCCGGGGCAGCACAGATATAGCAGTGGGCCGCTGTGCTGACGGACTTGGTGAAATTAGGAACTCCTGCCTTGGTTCCCTCCATTGTGTCTAATGGATCTCAGGCTTGCATCATTGACGCTCTGTACACTACTGATTCTCGTGACCTCTGGGCCACAGCCATCCATTGGAGAGAAGGTTTACACCAACACATGGGCTGTCCACATCACAGGGGGAGAGCAGGAAGCTAACCGGATTGCTAGCAAGCATGGCTTTGTAAACCACGGGAATGTGAGTGTTATGTTCAGACAAGTAATGCTTGTATGTTTGGCTCGCTTGGGTTGGGTGGCTTGCTCATCTGTGTGCGTCCGTGTTCCTTTTTAAAATGAAAGGTGTTAAGGCCTATTGAACTACCTTTATTTTCAATGTTGTCAGCAAAGACTATAGGGTCAAAGAGAATATTGGGTCATAGTTCAACTCAAAATCAAGAGAATTTTTTCTCTCTCATGTTTTCAAGTAATACAACCTAGTTTTAAGCCCATTAAAATGTATTTGCACTGTGATGTTAAAATACAGTAATGACAACCATTCTTTAAAAAAAAAAAAAAAAATTAAGTTAGCAAATTAAAGGGCATACAACAGCTAATACCATGAGGAATACTTTAGGGCTGCACGATATATCATTTCAGCATCCATGATTGTCACATCCACGATTGTCACATTGCAGGATGTGCAATGTCAAGTTATAGGAGTTGTAGTTGAAGTTAAAGTTGAACCATCACAGAGTAAAAGTTTAGCGTTTGAAAATATTTTTAAAATTCTGTCAGTTTAAATATTCAAGCGAGTTTAAGGCATTCAAGCTGTTTTCTGTGCGCACAAGTACCGAATAAAATTTTAATGCGTGCCGTGAACAGACACATATGCTGCAAAATGATGTCAAAATGTCTGTCTCCACGAGTATACTCATCGCTTATTTCTTAAGTAAACATATATAATTGAGTATCATGTTAGATCCATCATGCATTTGCTCTCACAGACGGTATAGCAGGTATGTTAAGCTGCTGTCACATTATCGTTAATGTTAATCAAGCAACAAAACACAAAGATTAATTATATTCAATTTATATAGTTCTGTTTATTTCATTTGTATATTTGCTCTATTGTATTAATCAATGCTTGTAATTTGTATATTGTTTTCTGGGCATATGCACTCAAATCACTCCAGTCATTCTAGAGAATGATTCATTCTTTCCAAATAGAGCTATTCAAGTCATCTGGTGAAATTGTTTTTGTATCGCATTATATATTGCAGAAAAACTAAATATCGTAATGTCAGTTTTTTTTCCAATATTGTGCAGCCCTAGAATAGTTTTATATGTACTATACAATTTAAATATCAATTATTGCTGAGCACCAGACCCACATTATGTGACCCACAATTTTTTTTCACTTTATAGTAATAAGGAATATGTGCTTAATTGAAAAAATAATACAAACGCAATAAAAAAAAACTTTACTTTAATATTTATAACATATTTTTAATAAAATTATCTTATTTAATTAAAATATTTATTTCTTTTAATTTTGGGAACAAATATGACATGGCATTTCAGTCGTGAAATTCACATTCTAAGTTCAGGGTTGTCAGTCATTTTAGAGTGTTAAATAGTGTTTATGATTACTGTAATGAATGGAGGTACATTTAAAATTATTCGCTTAAATTCTCAGAACCTTTGCATATTGAATTGGACTGGACAACAAGTCATCTGTCAAGTCAAACACTGCCCATGCTTGTCTTGTGTGTGTGTATGTTTGTCTCGCTCAAAGCCAGTAATATCAAAGACTATAATGTTTCCGTATCCAATCTGAAAGTTGTAGATCTAGTCGCTGTCCCCCACTGCTGCTCTCATTAGTTTTTTTTGGTCTGGTTGCCATACAATGTTGTTGTTAGTTAAATTAAGATTTGAAAGACAGACTTGTTCCTCATTTGGGCTTGTTTATTTTCTTTTTCAAAATTCACTTTTATATGGTGTTTGCATATAAATGTGTCTTTGCAGTGTGTGGACACAATCCACCATACGATGAAAAAAATCCAATCTCTCCTTTTTTTTATCCTCAAAAAGCCTAAACACTCTCAATAATCAAGCCGTTTGGATTTTCTGAGCAATATGATGTCATATTGCTCATGCTCCGCCCACAACCACCGACGGACTGTCCCGTATTAGCATATATTTCTGCTCTCAGCCAATTGTATACTTTCAGCCACGGCAGCACTTTATGTGTCTTGTGTCGACACCCCCCACTGAAGAGAGGGATGGGGTGAGCAGTTGCTCATTATCATTTAAAAAAACATGCACCGAAACGGGTCGCTGTTAATAGAGGTTGTTGTTTTACACAACCATTGAGGAATTTAAACCAAAGTATGTTACAAACTTCACATGAAGATCCTAAAGAATCATACCAACTTGTGGAAAATGGGCATCTGATGACCCTTTAAATCATACCTGTCAACACTCCCGTTTTTCCCGAGTTTCTCACGTTTTTTAGCCCTATCTCCCGGACCCCTCCCGGTTTGTTATTTCTCCCGAGAAACTCCCGTAATGTGCATGGCCCAAACTCAGGGCTTGAAGTATTCCGGCACCGTGCCAGATCTCCGGCGTGCGGCCGTGAGGAAAAAATGATTATTTTCGCATGCGATTAATTTTTGTCCAGCTTTAACATGTTAAAATATTTAACGCAAAAACGCAGCATCCGTTTTTTCTGTCATCCTTTAGCTAGGGTTATGACCATGTTCTTATTCACGCAAATGCTTTAAACCACTCATGCGCGACAAGACAAAAGAGAACGCGCTGTCAGTGAATGTTGCACACACACACACACACGACGCACAGAAAGACGCGCGCCAGTATCGAGTTCTCTTTCGCGCTTGAACGAACAATAACACACACATTTATGCGAAAATTTCAGTTTTGTCGAGCATCCTCACAAGCACAGTCCTAAATGAGTTAAATAAAATCTTAAATGGAAGTAAAGAGTAGTGAGAGAATGAGATGCATGAGATCCTGTGAGCAGCGACAGATCTTAAAGTGACAGGAGCCATTAATTCTGTATGTCAGTAAAGTTAACCTAAAGAACAAAGGGAACAGAGAAAATTACTCGCTGCTCTTGACTAAAGAAAGCTTGTAGCTTTGATAAGGATTAATCTATATTTCATTTATAATTTATGCAGTGCGGACTGTTTTATAACCTTATTCAATTTCTGTATGGTACAGGTAAATGACATTTTATTATGGGTTTAAGTGAGGATTGTTTTAAGTTCACTTAAATTAAAGGTTTTTTATTTTTTTGAAGCCTAATGTTTAAAATTTGGGGGGAAATCATTTTCATCGAGACATCAGTAGCTATAATATTAGTGATACTTGCTTTCATTCATAAAAAGATGGCATTAAGATACAGCTTTAATACTTGAAAATAAATGGTGCCATTGAAGATAGGTCCGTCTGCCCCCCCAAAAGTTCAGGGTCAGGAATTTTTTTCACTTTAACCCCTGCAAACTCCTTTATGAAAAATCGGACCAATATGTTTGTCTAATGTTGACCAGTTGCCAGATCTTGTATTAAGTGCATTATATTCACACAATATACACACCATATACAATTTCAACCCGTTTGTCATCTCAACCTGGCAACCTATAACCCAGTTGCGGAGTCGCGGAAAGCTTAACCCAAGCGAGCGCCGAACGGTCCTCACACAAATCTCCCGGATTTCGAAAACCAAATGTTGACAGTTATGCTTTAAATGGTTTTTAAAAGAAGATTCTTACTGACCCCAAATCTTTAATGGTACTGCAAGTTGTTTGATATTAACTTTCATAATTTTCACTACTACGGTTACAGGCATTACTCAATAGAAAATAGTGTTTTTCAATTATATAGATAATTCTCCATGGCGGTTCTGTTGTATGAATGGGAAAATTGCCGCTGCACCATGAAATTCTAATTAGTAAAGATGCATATTTGTCCTTTTCTTCCTCTCACTACCCCATTCTGTAGAACTCATGAATTTTGAACATTTCCTGCATGTTACGTCTGAATGCTCTGGCTCTCTCTGAAGGAATGCATAAAATATCTTCCCCTTTCTCCGGTTGTCATTTGATATTCTCAGCTTGTAACATGCCCTTGACTTGACTGTAGACTTGTGTGGAATGAGCTGCTACCTCACTTCCTGACCAAGATACATATTTTTTTTTTTAGGTTTTGTTCCGATTAGACAGTTTTGCAACTTCCTGCTCTTGAACAAAACTAATCCGATTTTTCATTTACCATAAGCAATTGAAAGCACATTATAGCAGTCGAGAGTCAATTCATTAGGTTAGATGATTAATTTAGATGTATATTACAGCCCACCCTCCAGTAATGGGTTCACTTTAAAACGCAAACAGCCCTGTGTCCAGATGGTACTGTAAAGCCAGGTGATGAATGGATCCTTGCACGCATTGTCGGGAGCACTGAATATGCTGCGGTTAGTAATTGCTGAAAATGAATGCCTCAGGGTCCACGCTGGCATTCAGTCCTGTATCTCTTGAGATATGAACGAATAACGCTGCCATTTTTAGTGTTGCGAGGCAGCGTGTGTGTGCAGCTTTTAAAATGCAGCTTCAGTGCTCAGGTTTATTCATGATGACTTGTCACTGAGGCTGCGTTTGCACTGCAAGTCTTAATGCACAGATCTGATCTTTTGACCATATCCATTGGTTTTGTGGTCCCGCCTGTTTACCCTCAGTTTTAGACATGATTGGTTTCCGATATCTGTTTACATTAATCCTCACCCAAGATGATTCTGTTGGTAATCTCTTTACTATGCGACATGGTTGACTTTCAGATTTTGAATGTCCTTACTAAAATTATTTATATAATTTAAGTTGAGTGGCCATGATTATTTGCCAGGATGGACTAGTTAAAAGCTGTCATGGATGTTTGCAGTGCAAAATCTGACTGAACGGATGTAGTCCGGGAAATATTGGTAATTTAATGTTTGTTTTATCTACGGTTTGTTTAGATCAAATTTAGTTGCTGAGAAATATAATGTATCTCTATCTTATCTTTCAGTAGTGAAGCTGTTTTATTTATAAAATTCACGAGGCAGAGGTTGAAAACCAGTTTCTATGCACCTGAATGGTTCTGTGTGCATGCAATTTTGAAACCATATATAAAGTTTCCACCTCACTAAAAAAAAAGGCTTCGTTTTAGTGCGAGCGCATACAGGCTCGTCTGCTTCATAATGTGGCATTT